TATAAAGCAATCTCATTTATTAATATATATGCACAAAATTTACAAATAAAATATATACATGTAGCAAATGATATATTCAAAAAGTAAATGATGCATGGCTTATTCCATGAAAGCAAAGACACTTCAACATCAAGAAATTCAATAATACTAGTCCATTTTACCAGTTGGTTAAAGGAGAAAAAACACTATTATATCAATAGATGCTGAGAGGCACTTAACAAAATCCAACAGCATTTCATTTAAAACATCTAACTAAAATTGGAATACAAGTAAAATAGTTAATTAAAAATAAATATTTACCAAAAACATCAAACATAATTCCAAGTGGCAAAGCACCAAATAATTTCAATTAAAATCAGTAAGTAGATATGGATGTTCAATGCCATTATTATTTAACAAAGTCTGAGGGGTTCAAATGAACTTCATAAGATATTAACAAGATAAGAAAATAAAATAACAGATACAAACACTGGAAAAAAATAGATGAACTCTTTTTGGGTGGGTATTGAGCAGGTGATACAATTGTAGAACTAGATAATCCAAGAGATACTAGTAAAAAAACTACTAGAATATGAGGATTTTATAAAGTTGATGGGTATAAGACAAATACACAAAAATCAATAACCTTTCCTTATTCTATCAACAAATATGAAGATTTCAATTTTCTTCCATTCTTTTAACTAAAACTGTCCTTTTTCCTAAAACACTGAAAACTGATGCTAGACAACTTGAGTTCAGCTTTAGAGAAATTGCCACAAAACTTGTGTATAGACAATCTTTGTGCCTGCTCTATGAGTCAAAATGATCACCAGAGACACTTAAATTACAAACCAGAAAAACTCATCTGATTCCTGCTGCCTGTTCCCACACCATATGAGAATGCTTCAAGCCTGACATCTGAAAATCTTTCACTAGGAGCACTCAAGACCCAGACACTGGGTTTGTAATTTGCTCCAACCATTAACCTATATTTTTCTTTTGTTTCTGTAGAAGTGTCTCTTATTAATTACCTGATTGCTTGCTAAACAAAACAGAATCTATATCATGGCTAACACCACCTGCTACACGATTAAGGCCTTACGTGACTCTCAAATAGCATTACAATATTAAACACTGAAATAACTCATTCATAAAGCAGTTCTACAAAATAAAATGGTATTAGATGTTTTAACTGCAGCATGGGTGGAACATGTGCCATCATAAACACTGAATGCTACATATATATTCCAGATTATCACCAAAATGTAACAGGATTGCTAATTGTGCTCAAATTGGCACTTCTTAAAATTTTTTTAATGTTTTATTTAAAAAAAAAAATTTTTTTTTAAATTTTTTTTTTCAACGTTTTTATTTATTTTTGGGACAGAGAGAGACAGAGCATGAACGGGGGAGGGGCAGAGAGAGAGGGAGACACAGAATCGGAAACAGGCTCCAGGCTCTGAGCCATCAGCCCAGAGCCCGACGCGGGGCTCGAACTCACGGACCGCGAGATCGTGACCTGGCTGAAGTCGGACGCTTAACCGACTGCGCCACCCAGGCGCCCCTAAAAAAAATTTTTTTAATATTTACTTTTGAGAGAGAGAGCGCGCGCAGGGGAGGGGCAGAGAGCTAGGGAGTCACAGAATTCGAAGCCGACTCCAGGCTCCCAGCTGCCAGCACAGAGCCTGATGTGGGGCTCGAACTCACAGGCCTATAGATCATGACCTGAGCTGAAGTCGGCAACCTAATCGACTGAACCACCCAAGCGCCCCAATGTTTTATTTTTTTTTTTGAGAAAGAGAGAGAGAGGGAAGGGTGGAGAGAGAGTAAAACACAGAATCTGAAGTAGACTCCAAGCCCCGAGCTGTCAGCACAGAGCCCAACGCGAGGCTTAAACCCACGAACCGTGAGATCACTACCTGAGCCAAAGCCAGATGCCCAACCGACTGAGCCACACAGGTGCCCCTCAAATTGCCACTTTAAACAATCTCTCCCTCTCCTTTAATAATTGGTTAAACTCCTGAACTGGAGGATTTTGGTCAACTATCAAAGGTCTCTTCATTGGGCTTCTTTTTCTCATAATAATTTCAATCGTGTTTTGCTGTCTTTTAAATGTCTCTCCACCTGGTGCCCAGACTCCCTCAGTGGCATAACTTCAAGTGGACAGATAATCTTTTGTACTCAAGGGGATTCATATATGTTGTCTACCTTGGATTTGGCTGCCTCTGCTTTTAACAATTCCTATAACCCCAAATGACCAATGCCCCTATTCAGCAGCAAAAAGTTACAGAAGATAAGACCTTCCACCTTCAGCAACCTTAAAGATTTAAGGGTCAAGTAATTCAAGGGGCAAATGATGAAGAGAACAAAGGTAAGAGAAATGGGGCTAAAATCATCTCTTTACAACTTGCAACCCCCCACTTATAAATTCCTGAGACATGCAGAGTGTGACATTCCTCAAGGAACTCATGGCTACTTTACTGTTGATGTTTCATTAAAGACTGAAAGCAACCTTATCTTAACAACAGCCCTCCGAGATCCTGGAGACCTTGCTTTTTAACATGCTCAAATTCCTTAGAGACTTACCTTATCCCTAACCCCCACTAATGAAAAAGTATATAACCAATTACTCCTCACAATCCCAGTGCAACTCTTTCTGCCTACTTGTCCTGTCTCTGTGCTATAATAAAAGCACGTTTTGGCACCAAAACAAAAACAAAAACAAAATACCAAGAGACTGAAATAGTGAAAAAAGTCCACTTATAGTAGATGCAAAAACATGACAGTCATAAATTTAACAAGAAGGAAAAAGTAACATAGCCAAATAAAACTAAGAAATCATAATTAAAAACAAAAAAAGCTTAAAGAAATGAAAGGACATACTATATTCTTGAATGAGAAGACTTTTACAATATTGAGACTTAATATCACTAAAAATGCCAATTCTCCAAAATTTAATATGTAAATATAACGCAATTCCAGCTAGAATCTCTGTTGGGATTAGTATTAAATGAAATTACCTTAACTTCATGTGGAAGAATAACTTCTTGTAAATATAAATATGTAAGAAAAGTATAAAGACTGGAGGAGAAAAACTTTACTAAGTATCAATTAGTCTTTCGATTAGAAGTAAATACAGGATCTTAAAAAATTCAAATTGAAGACTAACTCCTCCACGTATATATTTAAAAAGTAAGAACAGTAGAAAGAGAAAGGATTTACCAGCTGTGAGATTATGCTATTAAGTCACTATATTCAAATGAATACGTATGAATGGTATATCAAATAAATTTGTGGAACAAAAGAGAACACAGTAATCAATGCTAACATATATAAAATTTTAACATATGACAAATAGTTCTATTCAGTGTAAAAGGATGGATTATTTAATATACAATACTGATACAACTGGTTATCCATTTGGAAAGAATAAAACTAATCCCCCATATCTCATACCATATAAAAAATAAATCTTACATGGATTAATGACTTAAATGTAAAAAAAAACCTCGAGACTATCTGTACAATTTAAGAATGTTTTAACCAAAACTAACCAAAAACAATACAAGACATATCATTTGATCACATCAAAATGAAAAATTTTGGTAGTAAAATTTACCATAAAAAGTCAACAAATTATACATTAGAAAAAAACCAAATATAGATTATAATTACTACATTATACAAACTGCTCTTAAAAATTATCAAGAAAAATTCCAATAATGCAATAGAAAATTGGCAAAATCTATAAATAGGTAATTCACAGAAGGGAAAATTAAAATATTTGATATCTGCTCCAACTTCACGTAACGAGTCCTTATTTTCCATTCCAGCACCACTTTCTCTCCAGATTTCCTAGTCTGTGGTGTGCTCCCATCATTAAATACTCTCAAGAAAAGAGGTTCAGAGTCCTCTGTGACTTCCTTCTCTCCCTGTCTACTTAGCCTCTCTAATCCTGGGTAGTCTGCTCAATCTTGATTCTATCTTGGTTTTCCCATTGTGGCCACGGAGATGACCAAGGAGACACAGTGCGATGAGCACGAGTCTTGGAATCTGAACTGTTTCACTCCCTACCATTTACCAGCTATGTGAAAACAGGCTTGTTACCTTTCTAGGCTTTGATTCTCTTCTCTGCAAGATGGGACAATTATACCTGTTTTTCATGATCCCTGTGGCAACTGACAGAAGTAATTTACATACAGTGCATATTAGGACCCAAAAAATGTAGTTCCCTTCCTACTTCAGTTTGTTACAGTTAGTCTCGGGCCTGGGTTATCAGCAAAGATATTTTTTAAATGGCTACCTAGCTCCAATTTCTTGATTATCTGGAACACCCCCAATCATTGTAATAACTTAATTTTGCTAAAACATTGCTTGTATTATAGTATTCTCCTTGAATGAAAATTGATTATGAATTTTCAAGGATTCCTATTGCCTTTAGGGAAAAGTACAAATTCCATAGTGCCAAGACACTCATTCCTCTCAGGTAGAAATTTAAAACCTTTGCCCATAGTGCCCCAAACACAGGTTTTTTTCTAAAATTTTTTTTAACATTTGTTTATTTTTGAGACAGAGAGAGAGAGCATGAACCGGGGAGGGTCAGAGAAAGAGGGAGACACAGAATCTGAAACAGGCTCCAGGCTCTGAGCTGTCAGCACAGAGCCCGACGCGGGGCTCGAGCCCACCAACCACAAGATCATGACCTGAGCCGAAGTCGGACGCTTAACCGACTGAGCCACCCAGGCGCCCCACCAAACACAGTTTTTAATTTTTCCTTTGGGAAAATGAAGGAATATATTCACTTAAGTGTGAATGGCATTCACTCTCAATGGCAGAATCAGAAGGGATGATAGTAAATATTGATCACAGACACAGTTATTGACTTAGTTACTAGTAATTAGCCATATTTGCAACACTAATTAAAACAAGATTTTGCTGTGATTATAAAAGAAATAAAAATGTAAATACTTCTTTGTTATGGCCAGTTGCTAACAACAGCAAATAAAATCATTCTCTTTTACCTAGTACTTCTTTTTCCAAGTCATGGCATCTGGTTTGCAAGTTTGCTTCCTGTTGTTGGGATGTCTGAATCTGCTGAGACCTCAGTATGGCTGCATCTGACAACAATTTCAGATTTTTCATTTCCTCTTCAAGGCACATCTTATTTCTCTGGGACACTGTCAAACTTTTCTTTAGTATCTCTATTTCTGTATAGAAAAGTCAAAGTTTGCAAATAGACAAAATTGAATCATAAATCATTTCCCTGTAGAATGATTATTTTCTTCTAGAAAATCAATAGTTGAAAGTCAAGATAACTTTTCTGTCAGTAGAATGACACCTAACCAAAAAATTTAAATTTAGTAGTTATTCTGAAAAAGAAAGAAGGATTGCATTGCTAAATGATGCATGAAAAGTTTTAGGTTAGCCTTTAAATTGTATTAAATGGCAATCCATCTTGCTTTTTAAATGCTCACATAAATGAATAACACAATATCTGCATAATGTTCTGAGTTTTATTGAAATTAAATTGTTTTCTTGGCAACATGATTCAGAAAAGTACATTTAAATGTGCTAGCGTGAGCTGGTTGGGTGGCATTTCTAGGAGAGTAATTAGGGTACATTCTATACAAATTATGAAGAAAGACAGTAGGGGTGGAGAGGAATAAAAGGATTCAGTGTCTAAAGCTAATAAATTTATGGGCAGAAAGTATTAGTTAATAGAGCTTAATGATTCTAATAATACTTTGTCCACTCAAAATGAGACCAGAATTTTATCATAGCAATCACTTGTCATTATTCTATCTACTTAGATTAAGTTTAATAAAAATATGCCTTCACAGCATTATGTAGATTTAAATGTGCTAATTTTATATAATTTTGTGAGAAATGCATGGAACATATTATCCTTCAGAATAATCATCAAGCTCTCCCTTAAGCAGTCTCTTCAGCACTGTCTTAAACCACCACTAAAATATAAAAATACACACACAATAATGATAAAATACTATAAAATTTGTACAACCGCAATTAATTTGAATTGATGAGGAGGTGATCTATGTGAAAATCTGGACAGTCTGCTTTTCCAGATAGTTCACTTGGCATCCCCTTTCTTGTTTAGCTTATCCTGGGCCATGTGATGGGTGTAGCATGTGATTGGGGATCAGAGGAGACTGGCTTGGTCTTGGGGGCACCACAGCACCAGATAGGCTAGTGAAGACCTGAAGCAGAGAGCCAGAAGACAGACATGGCATCAGAGGCAATAGGGCTGGTAAGTGGTTAAAGAGAAGTAAAGCGGTTGGCTAGACAGAGCACAGAGAAGAGAACATGCTTTAAAGGATGGTGAAGAATAGAATTAGGAATGTGGTCCAAGGAGAGAAAGTAAAATGTCTTTCTGCGGGTGATGAGCATGTCAGAAAGAAAATGTGACCGTTAAGACAGATTTAGGGGTGACCACAAGGAGTCTGGCACCTACTTCACTTCTAATTGTTGCTCAAAATGGAAAACCTGGAGAAATAAATTGGCAGGGACCAAGTAAGTGAGGTTCTACCATATTCAAACAATTACTTAAATGGGAATATTTTTCCTAAGAATAACTATATGCTTCTAAATACTTACGGATATGCACCCATTTGTGTAAAGAAAACTGCTAACACACTAGTGTGTAAAATTTTAAAAGAATAGAGTTTAAAAAATATGGAGGTTGCAGTTTTTCTTTAGGCCCAATTTTTCTCTAGTATTTCTGTATCCATAAAGGTGGCTCCTTCTGCTGAATAAACTGTATCATATCCTAATCATATCTGTGTTTAAGTCAGAATGACAGTGCAGAGGAATCCGCACATGCTGTCACCTATTTTTCATTTGCCAGAATGATGCTGCTTAGGTTAGCAGGCTGACTCTGTAAGTGTACACTGCTATCTGTCTCTAAAATAACTACTCATGTCAACATGACTTTCTATCTGACATTAGAAGAATAAGAATCTGCAATACAAATTCAGTTGTGAAATATATTCTAATACATGGAAAAGTACAGCAAGATTTCCAAACTAATAGGAGCTATATTTCTAATGTGAAATTAGAAGACTAAAACTCAGTGAAGGGGAATTAACTCACCCTCGACAAATGACACATTCCCTGTACCTACGGCAATTCTGATGTCAAATACTGGGTCCTACCTTCATCATTCTACAGCATCATATCTGTCAGTCACGTGTTCCAATTTGGAGTTCAGAAGTTATGATTTCCACCAGGTTAACCTATTCTGGTGGTTGTACCCACTTTGGTTTCCCTTATCTCAGCACCCCCTATGAAGAAGTTCCTTCTAACTTCATTCATTTGGCTTGCTATTGCTCATATGCTACCATGGCCTGGCAATCTTTTCTGACCCAATCTGGAAGTGACCTGGATCTTCCTAGAACTCATACCAATTTACACCATTTTTACTGCACTGATAATATGTATACATGTGATCTATTATTGGACTGTAAGTTACTTAGGCCAGAGATCATATATTAGTCATTTTTTATTCCACCCACAATTTTTACCATGATGTCCTAGAAATAACAGGAGCTCAATACATACCTACCAAATGAGTAAAGGCTTTATTGAGCAAAACTTCTAAATAGTTTCTGATATACTAGTTGAATACAGTATCCTGAATATTTTTTGTCTTATCTTGCCCTTAACTTCAGAGGCAAGCATTTTGAGTCACAGATTCTTTAATGTTAGGCTAGGTAAGGTAGTAAAAACACACATGCAAAAGCAGCTAACATTTTAATAGGATGAGAAAATAGGCCTATTTCATCCCTAATTTCTTCAATTTTATGAAAATATGTGGACTACATTTCCAAGCCTAATTTGGAACTTGAATTTAAAAAATTCAGGAGCTATCCAATAGTTATTTTGAGAGTGGAAACAAACTGATTCTACACTTAAAATAATCTACCTTGGTAAAAATATTTTTTCCTGAAATTTCTTTTATCAAAATAGGTATGCTCTGCTTTAATAAAACCTAATCTATGCTAGCTCGCTCTCTCTCTCTCTCTCAAAAAATAAATAAACCTCAAAAAAACTTTAAAAAAAATGGGTGCCTGGGTGGTTCAGTCGGTTGAGCGTCCGACTTCAGCTCAGGTCATGATCTCACAGACTGAGTTCGAGCCCCGCATTGGGTTCTGTGCTGACAGCTCAGAGCCTGGAGTCTGCTTTGGGTTCTGTGTCTCCCTCTCTGCCCCTCCCCCCTCCCCCCTTGCACTCTGTCTCTCTCTCTATCAAAAAATAAATAAACCTCAAAAAAAATTTTTAAAAAGTAATACAAGAAAAAAAAGAAAACCTAATCTATGAATATTTGAGCTTAAAAACATTGATTATATAAAGAGATAGCCACTCATTAGAGGGGTAGGAAATATTTTACTCATATCCGCTATTCAATAATCAACATTCTTGCCAGCAAGAAAATATTAAGCAAAGCCTTTTCTAGGAATGTTGTTTCTGTTCTGGACTTTGATTTTAAGCCTAAATTTTAATGTGCAAAACTTTTAAAGTATCTCAAATAATGTTGTGAATTTGTATGGGGTTCACTATATTATGAGTTTGCTAGGGCTGCTGTAACAAAGTAGCAGAGACCAGGTAGCTTAAGGGGCAGAGATTGATTTTTTCACAATTCTGGAGGCTAAGAAGTCTGAGATTAAGGTATCAGCTAGGTTGGTTTCTTTCAAGGGCCATGAAGGACAGATCTGTTCCAGGCCTCTCTACTTGGCTTATAAAAGGCCATCTTCTTCCTGTGTCTTCAAGACTCTTTCTTCTATATGTTTCTGTTTCCTCTGTTTTTATAAGGAACACCAATCAGATTAGAGCCCACCCATTTAAATTTATTTCTTTAAGAACCCTAGGGGCGCCTAGGTGGCTCAGTCGGTTGGGAGTCCGACTTCAGCTCAGGTCATGATCTCATAGTTGGTGGGTTCAAGCCCCACGTAGGGCTCTGTGCTGACAGCTCAGAGCCTGGAGCCTGCTTCAAATTCTGTGTCTCCTCTTCTGTCTGTCCCTTCCATGCTCATGCTCCGTCCCGCTCTGTCTCTCAATAATAAATGAAACCTTAAAAAAAAATTAAGAAAAAAGAACCCTCACTCCAAATACAGATATATTCTGAGGTGCTGGGGATTGGAACTTTAACATATGAATGGGGGGGTGCAGTGACATAATTTAGCCAATAACATATTTTAGAACATTTACTGGCATTTACACTGTGATTATAAATATGGAAAAAAATAGATGAGCATGTGTTGGACTAGAAGATAAAATGGGAAAATGAAAACAACTATGTTAGGATAAAGGAATTACGGGTTTGTTTTACTTCTTATAAAAATGTTTCCGGGGCGCCTGGGTGGCGCAGTCGGTTAAGCGTCCGACTTCAGCCAGGTCACGATCTCGCGGTCCGTGAGTTTGAGCCCCGCGTCAGGCTCTGGGCTGATGGCTCAGAGCCTGGAGCCTGTTTCAGATTCTGTGTCTCCCTCTCTCTCTGCCCCTCCCCCGTTCATGCTCTGTCTCTCTCTGTCCCAAAAATAAATAAACGTTTGAAAAAAAAATTAAAAAAAAAAAAATGTTTCCATTGTTCTTCTTATATCAACTTTTCTAGTTTAACTTTTTTTTTCCATTTATTTTCATTTCATTTTCATTCATTTCATTATTTTTGAGAAACAGAGAGAGCACAAGTGGGGAGGGGCAGACAGAGAAGGAGACAGAATCCAAAGCAGGCTCCAGGCTCTGAGCTGTCAGCACAGAGCCCAACGCAGGGCTCAAACCCACAGACTGTGAGATCATGACCTGAGCCAAAGTCAGACAGTTAACCGACTGAGCCACCCAGCAGCCCCTTATATCCACTTTTCAATTGAAGAACTGTGTCATGCAGAATCAACTCACACCCTAAGAATATATCCACATAGATCATAAATAAAAGCTGGTATTGAAAAAGTATTTGTCATTTAAAATGTTTATAATATTGTTAAAGTTTATAGCTAATACAGCTTTTTTTAGCCGTTAGAATAAGTATCATATAATGCTAGCTAATGTAAATACAATTATTAGTATTAATCTTACATAATTTCTTTATCTTAATAAGATTTTTCTGTTGTTCTTAGTCCTATTAGCTTAATCATATGGACTTAAAATTATGTCTCTAGGAAATCTTTACAATTTTAGACATTCTAATAGATGTGTAGTAGTATTTCATTACAGTTATAATTTGCATTTCCCTAATTGGCTAATGTTGAACAATTTTTCATATGCTTTATTATTCCATCTGCATAACCTCTAGGTGAAATTTTTGCTCACATATTTTGCCCATTTCCTAATTAAACTGTTTATTTAAAACGTAGAGTCTTGAGAGTTTTTCATCTATTCCAGATAAAAGTCCTTTGTGTGGCCCACAAATACTTTCTCCTAATCTGTAATTTGTCTTTTCATCCTGTTAACAGGGTGTTTCACCAGAATAAAAGTTCTTAATTTTGTTGAGGTTCTTATTTATCAAGTTTTCCTTTTATGTATCATGCTTTTAGTTCAAGTCTGAGAATCCTAAGTCCCAAAGATTTTCTAGTTTTCTATTTTCCATGTAGATCTATGATCCATTATGAATTAATTTTTGCATAAGGTGCAAGGTTTTGGTCAAGGTTCTTTTTATTTATTTTTATGCCTATGGGTAACCAGTTACTCCAGTCACTCCATTGCCTCCATTATTATTTTCAGTTTGTTAAAAAAACAACAACAATAAAAAGGCTAGCCTATCCTTCTTCCATTGAACTGCTTGTTCACCCTTGTCAAAAATCAGTTCTGCATATTTACATGGGTCTACATTTTTATATATATTTAATATATTAGTTATATATTAATAAATATATTTAAGCTATAAGAGCATTAATTTTGCTCCCTTATTTAAGGGTACTAGCCTGGCACAATGAACACTTCTTTAGGATATATGTATGGACATATGTTTTCATGGCAGGGAGAGCACATAAATACCAAAGAAGAATTTCAGGGTCATTGGGTAGGTGTATCTTTAGTTTTGTTAAACAACAACAACAACAACTGTCAGATCTTTTTTCAAAGTGGTTGTAGCATTTTATACTCTCACCAATTTGCATAAGAATTCCAGTTGCTTTTCTTCCTCACTAACATTTGCTGTTGTCAATCTTTTTCATTTTAACAAGTATAGTGGGTATGTACTGTTGACATTTGCATTTCCCTTTTGATCAATAATGTTCAGCACTTTTTCATGTCGTATTGGTCAACTGTATATGTTTCCTTGTAAAGTGTCTGCTCAAATCTTTTAGCCATTGTTGACTGGATTGTTTGTCCTTTCATTACTGACTTGTTGGTGCTCTTTATGTAATCCAGACAGCAATTCTTTGTTTTTTAAACGTTTTTTTTTTTAAATATTTTCTCTGTCTGTGGCTTACCTATTCATTTTTTTTCTTTCTTTTTTTTCTTTCAAATCAATTTAATAACCTGGCAGCAATTCAAAATATGGAAAGATTCAAACTTGTTCCCTTAAGAGGTATGCTACCATGACTGTTTCACACAAGCATGAACAATGGCAACGATGAAACCGATTCCAAAGAGCAAGGATGATAAGAAGGCTTCTAGGCTCACACACTGAAGAGCTTGGTTTCAGAAAGTCTCTTGAGGGGTAGCAGAGAAGACATGAAATTTAAGGGGCCCTCAGAGGACAGGGCGCAGTTGCTGGGTCATGAGCACCTTGAAGCGTTTCTTGATGGTGATTCGGTGTCGAGAGTATTTGTCATCTGGGGAGAACCGAGCAGGATGAACTGAGCAGGTCTGCTGTCCCATAGGGTCAAGCTTCTTCGGCGTATAGACCCAGTCTCCCTGATCGTTGAGGTAATACTGGAGAAACATGACCACACCGAAGCCAGAAGTTCCAATTTCGTCTGTACCTCTTCCTAACCGTCGCCAGTCTCACCACCTATTCATTTTCTTAATAGCATCTCTTGATGAACAGAAATTTTTAATTTTGATAAAGTCTAACACATCAATTTTTGGGTCTTTTTCTATCAAAAAAACTTCATTTACTACCAATTCATGAAGGTATTTTCCTCTATTTCTTCTTTGATAGTTTTAGCTTTTATATTTAGTTCTATGATTTATCTTGAATTAGCTTCATGTACAATGTAATGTAGGACTTGAGGTATATTTTCCCATATGGGTATTCTACTGTTCTAGCACAATTTGTTGAAAGACTTTCTTGTTTCCCATTTGATCGTTTTGGCACATTTGTGAAAAGTGAAATAATCATACAAATAGGGATCATTTACCAGGTTATTGTTCCATTTATCTATTGATGATCCATATGCCATAATACATAATAAATCTTAGAGACAGGTGATAGTAATTCTCCATTGTTTGGATACTTTTAAAAGAGTTATTTTTTTAGTTTATTTATTACCTCTGTAGCTTTATCATTTTGTATTTATTTTTTAGTGGTTGCTCTATGAATTATACATCATTTTTACATCCTTTTAGAGTCCTGGGATTCTGTTCATCTTTTTTCAATGTTATTTAGTTTTCTTCTTCAAAATGAATAAAGTTTGCTGATTCTTTTTTCTATAATCACAATATGCTATAGAAGTCCATCCAGTAAATTTTTATTTCAGATACTATATTTTTCTAATCTTGACTATCCAATTTTTAATAGTTTCTTGCTGAGATAGTCTATCTCTTTTCATTCATTACTAGCTTATTTTCTTTTACGTCATTGAACATAGTTAACAGCTAATTTGAAATCCTGGTTAGTTAATTATATCATCTGGATCAACTCAGCATTGGTCTCTGTTGTCTGTTCTCTTGAGTATGATCCATACTTTCCTGTTTCTTCCCAGTTCAAGGAATTGGGGATTGCATCTTGAACATTGGGGATGTTATGCTAAGGAGACCTTGAATTCTGTTATATTCCTCCAAAGGGTAGTGATTTTTGGTATTGTTTTATTTTAATAAGCAGCTAACTTGTCTGAACTCAAACTGTAAAATATGTCTACCCTTGGGTGACAGCTAAAATATCAGTTATTTCGGCCTTTGGTGGGCTGTTTAAAGTCTTCCCTGTGCACGTGCATTGTAGAAGTAGGACAGAGATTTGGAAAAAGCTTATATGCAAACTCTGAACTCTCCCTCGCTGATTATCTCTTTTCTGGGATATTCCCTTATTTCTCAGAGGCTGCCTTGATCTATGTCCTCCAGTCTTCAAGCCAAAAAGACTACAGATTTCTTCAGAGTTTTAGCTTCCCTGCGTAGAACACACTATACTCTGCCCTCAACCCATTAGCCTTAAACAAACAAAAATAAAAACAAAACCCTAGGGAATTCACCCAGTGCCATTTTCTTCTTTTACTTCAAAAAAAAATAGGCTTTATAAAATATCAGTTTTAGGCTCATAGGAAAATTAAGCAGGAAGTACAGAGATTCCCATATAACTTCTGCCTGCACACATGCATAGCCTCTCCCATCATCAACATCCTACACCAGAGTGCGACATTTCCTAAAATCAATAAACCTACACTCACACATCACAAACACCTCCAAATCCTTAGTTTATATGAGGATTCACTCTTGGTGCTTACATTCTGAGCTTTGACAAATGTATAATGACATGTATCCACCATTCTAGTATCATACAAAGTATTTTCATTGCCTTAAAAATCCTTCACGTCCAATCTATTCATCCTTCCCCCCCCCCCCACCCCCCGGCAAACAAAGACTTTTTTTTACTATATCCATAGTTTTGCCCTTTTCAGAATATCATTTAGTTGGAATCATATAGTATGTAGCCTTTCAGTCTGGCTTCTTTCACTTAGTAATATGCCTTTTTTCAATTTTTGGACATTCTCTCTGCTATGTGCTTGATTTTGGTCACTCTCCGGGTGTTTTTAGGTAGTTACTTTGTCTAGAAATTATCAGTTATCTGTGGAAGGCTGATTCAACATGAGATACTCACTCATTAACAGAAAAAAAGTTTAAGAAGTCAAATTGGCACACTTAACAGTAATAAACAGACTTCTGGTCACAGCTTTAGATAGATGTGTCATGGTTAATTTCAGATTATTGAATTTCAGGGTTCAAATTATTGAATTTCAGGGTTCAAATAGGTCATAATGGCCACCTAGTTTACCAACAAACAATAATTTTAAAAGTTAGTCATATGTCCCATCACATCAAATATCATTATTTCATTACTTATTATGTATGATATACCAAAAGGAAAAAGATGATTACATTCTAAATATACATAACAAACCTGTCAAGGCTGTTTCACTTATGGATTTAATTTGTAGAAAAACTTCTCCTTTCAGTGAAGTCCAGTTTTGAAAATTGTCGTATACTTCATTTTTAATAATGGTTAGCTCCCTTTTAGTAAAAGTAAGTAATGAAAGAGTCTTATTCCACAAATATTTGTACTCCACCAATCTTTGACTGTAAAATAGTTTTAAAAATTAGGATTTTAAAAGTAGCAAGCATAATAACAAATATTTCTTTGAAAAAATGGTTTTCTTTGAAAAATGGTTTGAGAATGACCATATAATCTACTGTCTAAATGGAGACAATTTTGAAAGTAAAAGGAGGTGATATTTGTATTTTGCTGAGATGACAGATATAAACTAGGAATATCCCAGGAACACTGAAGTGTATGGTCAGCCCAACTCATTTTCATTATATTATTTTAGCTATAAAGAAATAGAGCTAATTTTTTCATACATATTTATTCTACTAACCTTTTAAATTAATTCAACAGTAAACAGTGAAGAAAATTAGGTCACAGTGACTTAATCATAGACCAAAATGGGAATCTCAGATTCTTAGACAGTATTCTCACTACATACCATGCTTCTCCAGACAGTGTAAAACCCAAGGTAATAATAAAGAATACCTTTTAAAGTGAATGATGTAGTGCTTTTGCTTCATCAAGTGACACAGTTCAAAGAAATCACACATTTTTTGCAATCTCAGTGATTTATTACTTCAGATGTCCTGCCTATAATTTACCCAATAATTAGACAAGATCTGAAAGTTATCAGCAAAATAAATAAGTAAGTAATGACTGAAGCCATGGAAGTGTATAATTGGTTAATATATATCTTCCTGGATAGACTAGATCTATGATGCAGAGACTATATCTGTCTTATTCATCACAGTTTCCCAAGCACCTAGCATAGTACCTATCACATAGTATATGCTTAAATACTGACAAATAAATGAATGAGTAAAAATAATATATCACCCAGTTGGAGGACTGAAGAAGTGAGAAGTGCTGGGGATAAAACACTGGATAACACTAACATTTATAGGACTATAACAGAAAATAATCCCTCAAAAAAAGACCAGCGAGCCAAAAGAATAATATCAGAAATTCAGGAAATAGGAAATGTAAACAAAAAACAGTGGTCAGTGTTTAAGGCCTCAGTTAAAGGCTGAACAGAGTCCACTGTATCTGGTATTAAGGAGGCCTCTGAAGATCTGAGAGAGAGACATTAGGTAGGAAAGGACAGAGTAGTAAAGCAGAAGTGATACTAGCAGTCAAGAACCTTGACTTAAATAGCAAGGAGAGGAAGAGGAAAATGCAGAGTAGAATGGTTTGTTGAGAAAGGAGACACCTGAATGTGCACACAGCTGAGCAACAATACGAGCACAGTCAGAGGCTAAAAACACAGACAAGAGATACAGTCAATTTCTTGTGCAAAGTCCTAGAAAGGCCAGATATAGGCCAGAGGCTAAAAGATTAGCCTTTGCCAGGAAAAAGGGTGATGACATTCTCTATGGTAACTAATGTCCACTTGAGTGACCAGAAGCCACAGAGGATACCTCAAACAGCATGCAGAGGTAGGAGCTAAGAGAGATGCTAATTTCAAAAAGCAGAGAAAGAGTCCAAATAGATCACTAAATCAAGAGGGCCAAAAGTAAGGATGAGAAGTCTGAATGTGGAACCAGAAACTGGTGGTAAGAAAGGGAGATCAGAGCTATGAACTAAGTCAAGGTCAAGGGCTAATGGTTTTGGTGTAAGGCAGCTGCCGGGAATAAACCATGTACAAAGGGGTCAGGGTATAGAAGGATATTTAACAGGAAAAAAGACTGGATGTGGATTCAGGTGCTTCTTTAGGGAGAAAGGCAGGAAATAGAAAATTCAAGCTTGTTAGCCAAGACCAGATCCATGCTTTGTGGGGCCTAAATCTTATATTATTAGTGGTGAGTGAGAGGAAGACTTTCTTGGAAAAAAAAGAAAAAGGAACACAAAAATGATGTCCACAAAATTAGGTTTAAAAGTGTGTGCTTATCTATAGAATGAGAAAAATCATTACAAATGAAAATTGTCAAGTTGATAAATTCCACCAATATCACAAAATATAGGAAAATAATGTAACTTGCTAATAGTAACGGCTCTACAATATTTTTTTTGCTTGTAATTTTTGTCCACATGTTCTTCAACCACTTCTGCATATGAGAACCATTTTATAATAATGCATTATGTGGAGAGAATATAAAAATTATATAGCCTTTCATCTAACATGGCCATTAGTTTTTTATTATTGGTAGTTTCAAAATATTCTTTCAGCTTTATGATTCATTATTGATAACACTGTGCAAATATTACACATTGTCCAATTTGGAAAAACACTTTTCTAGTTTTCTTATATGATTATAAGAATTGGAGCATTTCAAGTTTTCTTGGAAAATGACTAGACTTAAATTGTCTTTGAAATGATGCAACTCATAAAACAGTTTATCTTAAATGTCCTTGAAGTGGTGTGATTTTTATGTTGTATTCAGTGATGTTAGTAGCTTTTGTAAATTGGCAAAACATTTAAATCTTTCTCCAATGTATTTAAATAATTTACTTCATTCAATGGATTATTTCATAATCCAAGAGCTTTTTTTGAAAATATATCTTTCTCTTAATGAATTCACTTGTAATATAATATGAAAAAAATTATAATTTTTTATGCTAGAATAATTTATATTGCTTAAATTGCTATTTATTGTTTTTATTCCATTAATTTTTAAAAATTCATACACATTCAAATTTTTAGTTTGCAATCCTTACTTGTATTATTGAAGCATTCTACAATGTTTCCCAAATGTCAGTTATAATCGTGTATTCCCAACTCAATTTTCCCTTACTCGGATTCCACAAATGCTTGTGACTACTCCAATGGCATAGCAACATCAGAAGTTTAAGAGAGGGGAAACCAGTGCCTGGGTGGCTCCATGGGTTAAGCATCCAATTTCGGCTCAGGTCATGATCTCATGGTTTATGGGTTTGAGCCCCGCATTGGGCTCTGTGCTGACAGCTCAGAGCCTGGAGCCTGCTTCAGATTCGGTGTCTCCCTCTCTTCCCCTCCCTCACGCACACTCTGTCTCTCTGTCTCTCTCTCTCTCACAAATAAACAAACATTAAAGAAAGAGGAAACCAGACTAGAAAAAGAAAGAATATTAATCAGTTACAATTAAAACATCTTACTTCTGCTAGACAATAAATAGTACAAATATGCCTCAGTTTTTTCAATAATTCACAATGCTACAAATCACATGCAAAATGTGAATAGTGAAAATTGACCGTATCAGTCCATAATATCCTGAAGCAGCATTAATTATTTAAGCTAGTCCTGGTCTACTTTTTAAAAATTTTTTAAATGTTTATTTATTTTTGAGAGAGAGCACGAGCATGAGCACGAGCAGGGAAGGGTCAGAGAGGATCTGAAGCAGGCTCCAGGCTCTGAGCTGTCAGCACAGAGCCTGATGCGGGGCTCAAAATCACAGACCGTGAGATCATGACGTGAGCTGAAGTCAGACACTTAACTTACTGAGCCACCCAGGCACCCCACGGTCTAATGTTTTTTTAAATGTTTATTTATTCTTGAAAGATAGAGACAGAGGATGAGCAGGGGAGGGGCAGAGAGAGACAGGGAGACACAGAATCCAAAGCAGGCTCCAGGCCCTGAGCTGTCAGCACAGAGCTGGACAAGGGCTCAAATGAACTGAGCACAAGATCATGACCTGGGCCCAAGTTGGACACCTAACCGACTGAGCCACCCAGGTGCCCCTAGTCCTGGTCTAACCTTAAAATTTAATCAATCCTACCACTCATGATGGCATTAACGGATGAAACAAATGGGACTTCCTTAGCAGACCTGAGCCAAAGCTATTGGAAAAAGCCAAGCTTGAACACCAGTGGGGATGATCAAAGTGGAGAACTGAAATCACCTGCTGGTTAAATACCAGATTTCTAGGAAAGGGCAAGGATTTCTGATGATAAAAATTATCATCTGTTTTATTAGTAGACTCCTTCATTCATTCAAAAATTATTTACTGAGCATCAGTTATGTGCAAGGCATTTATGAAAGGTACTTGGCCAACATGTGATCACCAGCTAGTATATTAAAAACTTGTTAGCCTAGGAAATTTCTTTTAAGTTTATTTATTTCTTTCTGAGAGAGCAGAGAGAGAGGGAGGTGCAGAGAGAGAAGGAGAGAGAGAATCCCAAGCAGGCTCCACCTCTGTCAGCACAGAGACCAATGTGGAGCTCGATCTCATGAACCATGAGATCCTGACCTGAGCCAAAATCAAGAGTTGGACACTTATGTGACTGAACCACCCAGGCACCCCACCCAGGCAATATTTTTAACAGAACAATGTTTCTGGCAACAACTAGTAGATTGGAAAAAAAGGAAAAGAAAAAGAAAAGAAAGAAACCTAACATTCAAAATATTCATCCAACATATTTTTTTTAAGTCACCCAGAATCTGTGTCTATTTGTAATGCTCATTTAACTTATTTCCCTTTTCTAGCAGCTAAATTACTCAGTTTTGAAACGAATCATTTTTTTCTGATATTCTCAATAATTCAATTCCAATTTTATTTAAAAAAAAATGAACTTCCTTGTTTCTGTAGAACACTGGGGTTTTTACCTTCAGGTATGATAAACCCTCCAAAGATGATATAAAAGCAGAATTAACACCATTTTTGTTGGAGATTTCTAAATTTAGAAGGTCTATTACTATCATTTAGAAATGTACCCTATTCTTTGACTTTTTGTATCATTGGACTATCTGGCAGGGAATCAAATACACCAAGAAATACTCATCAAGAGAAAAATGAATTAGCTAATATTCTTTCATTCTAAATGTTACTGCAAAATAAAAGCAATGTGTTTGCCTAATTTAAATGTTATTGGTAAAACTATTCAGTTGAAATAATGATTTAAAAAGAAAATAAGTAAAGTTGTTTTCATTGTTTCAACCACACTGAATATAGAAACTATATTACTAAAACGTGTTTGAATGTTTATAAAGTTAGTTTTAAATGTACTTTTTCAATCTTCATGATTTTCAATTCTTTAAAGATAATCTTACCTGAATGCTTGTGATTGTCTCTGTTTAATATTTAATTCATGTTGCAAATGACTCAATTCTTTCTGTACTCTCTTCAATTCATTTTGTTGACTTTTTAACTGCATACTTACATCCCAAATTCTAAAAATATAAACAAAAAACATCCATTACAAGTTTAAATAATCCTTCATGAGAGCCTTATTAAATTAAAATTTAAAAACACTTTTAATAAAAATAAATTCTAAAAAACTATGCATCTTTATATATGCTAAATGAATGTACAGAAAAAGTATGGAGAGACACAAATCAAACACCATTAACACTGGGAAGGAGAGTGGAACCAATTGGCAGGGGAAAGGCAAGGAAGGGCACTGAAGGGAGGCAAAACTTTTTCTCTGTATCTTTTGTATTGTTCAAATTTTTACAATAAACATTTTTTTACTTGAATTACTAATTAAAATATAACTTAAAAACATCAATTTAATTTTTATTAAAGTAATATGTGTATATAATTTCAAATGTCAAATATTACTAAAAGAGTTATAAGAAAAAAAACAGAAATCATTTTCTTTTACTTCAATTCCCACTGCCCAAAACAACTTTCAACGTTTTTCCTGATTCCTCTAGTATTTACTTCTATATTACTAAATAACATGCTTATATTATTATTCCTTAATATTTCAGTATAGGGGCGCCTGGGTGGCGCAGTCGGTTAAGCGTCCGACTTCAGCCAGGTCACGATCTCGCGGTCCGTGAGTTCGAGCCCCGCGTCGGGCTCTGGGCTGATGGCTCAGAGCCTGGAGCCTGCTTCCGATTCTGTGTCTCCCTCTCTCTCTGCCCCTCCCCCGTTCATGCTCTGTCTCTGTCTGTCCCAAAAATAAATAAACGTTGAAAAAAAAAATTTCAGTATAGATATTACCTAGGAAATTACAAATTACAGTTAAGATCTGATTCTGCTACATATAACTGAGACCTGAATATGATAGCTTAAATATACAAGAGTATATTATATTGCATAAAACAAATGTATTATTAGCCAATCTAATGCTGATGTAATAGCTTTATAGAGTCATCAGGTCCCCAGGATACTTCCAACTCTCTGGTCTACTATCTTTGGTATAGGTCTTTTATTTTCATTGACCATGATAATGGCAGAAACTGCAACAATTCTTTTCCCATTCCAGACTAGCAACAAGAGGAGAATAATGGCTCACTCTGTCTCTTATAAGCAAACTTCCTAGAAGTACCACTAACTACTTCTGCTGAAGTTAGACACATGGCTGTACCTACTGTAAGTAAAGCTGGGAAACGTAGTCTTTTAATTGAAAAGATTAGTTCCCAGGTATATCCACAGTTCTATTACTAACAAAGAAGGAAGAATGGTGTTATAGTAGGTAACGAGCAGTCTCTATCACAATCCTAGTAAGAACTGACCCTCCTACACATACCTATACTCTTAAACGTACAAACACACCACCCTCCCCATCTTACCCTCCCAGTTTAGTTACATCAATCTTTTTATTCAGTACTTACATTATTCTTCACTAGTGAGATATCTGTTATGTTATGATCACATTTCTTTTCTTGTACAACTTTTTGGTGTCCCTGGAGTGAAAACCCATCTCCTTTTCTTCTTAGTTTTCTGTGTACCTATCTTTGATACATCTTCCAAATCTGACCGAGGTCTAATTCTGCTTTCTCAATATCTTCAGACACAGCAGAAAACTCTTCCATATCATTTCTTTTCCAGGAAACATCCTTCCCAGAGCTCTCTATTCCCATGCTCCTGTCTGGGTATTCTCCGGTTTGACTAAACAACTGTCATCCTGTGACTTGCCTTTCTTACCATTTCAGGAACTGTCCTTAGCTCTCTTTCATGTCTGTACCCTGTACCCTGGCTCTAAAGTCTTCCTCCTTCTTGGTGTTCTCCTTTTGGTGGAATAGATCCTCCAGGAGTTTGTTTTTTGTTTTTGTTTGTTTTTTGTTTTTTTGTTTTGTACGTGAGAGGTAATTTTAAGAACTTGAATATGTGAAAATGTATTATATCTCAGACTGGACAGTTTAGCTAAATATAGAATCATAGATGAGAAAAAATATTCTTCATCTGAAAATTAGGGCACTTTTCCTCTGTTTCCTAACATATGGTGCTGTTTCTGAAAAGTCCAATGCCGGTCTAATTTCTACTTCTTTGTATGATACATGGTAGGTTCTCCTCACTCTGCCCCTGCCCTGGTTCAGAAGCTTTAAGATTTTTCTCTTTTCACTTAGTATTCTTAAATTTCATCACAATATATTATTGTATCAGTCTCTTGTCATTCTCTTTGCTGGGCACCTGATGTTTTGAAAACTGGTGTTCTTTAGTTTCAGGAATTTTACCCTAAGGAAAATGATTCTTTCCCCTTCATTTTCTATGTTTTTTTTTTTTTTTTTTTTTTTTTTTTTTTTTTTTTTTTTTCTTTTCTTTTCTGGAACATCTTTCTATTTAGATGTGGGACCTTCTGAAGAGATTTTCTAATTTTCTTAAATTTTTTGCCATCTTACTACTTTGGACATTTTGTTTATCTTCCATCCTGTCTATAAAATTTTTAATTTCTGTTATATTTTAATTACCAAGAATTCTTTCTTATTCTTCAAAAGTCTACAAGAATTCTTTCTTGTTCTTATTTCATGATTACAATTTCTTTTCTTATTTTTTGAAGGTATCAATTACTGTGTGTTTTACCGTTTATTTTTTATTTTTTTAATTTATTATTTTTGAGAAAGAGAGAGAGTGTGAGCAGGCGAGGGGAAGAGGGAGAGAGGGAGACACAGAATCTGAAACAGGCTCCAGGCTCTGAGCTGTCAGCACAGAGCCCAATGCAGGGCTTGAACTCACAAACTGTGAGATCATGACCTGAGCTGAAGTCGGATGATTAACCAACTAAGCCACCCAGGGACCTCAATTATGGTGTATTTTAAAGTTTTCTTCAGCTTACTTCATAGCTTCTGTTCCTCTGGCCTTTTAAATTTTTTCTTTGTTTTGCTTCCCTTCTTTCACATTTGAAGCCTTCCTTACAAGTCTGGAGATCCTTTGTTATCTATTCATATTTACAAATGAGGACAATTGGTCCCATTTCTATAAGTTACTAATGATGGAGAAAAGAGGGAGTGGCTTTTCTAGATAAAAGAGAAGTAACAAAAGTGACAATCAAATGTGACATGTAGACCTTGTGTAGAACCAGATTCAAACAAATAAACTACAATTTTTTTTAATATTGAGGAAATTTGATTATGAACTGGGAATTAGAAAATACTGAGGAACTATTGCTAATTTGGGAATAATAATACTGTTGTTGTATAAGAAAATGGCATATCACACTGAAGTAAATGGAGGTGAAACTAGCAAGCAGTTTTGGATTTTCCTTAAATTGCTTCAACAACAAAAAAAAATGGGACAGATGAAACACATAAGCCAAAATTGTGGTAATTTTTGAATCTGTGTTAATGTATATTATACTATTTTCACCTAGAAAAAAAACTAACAAACGAGGCAGTGAAATTCTGTCTTAAGGTTCTATGGTGTGTGCAGGAATTATTAAATGATGGCCTTCAACTGTGCGGAGATCACATGGGGAATCAGCTATTTTGATAGTACCTATGCCATCTGCCAGAGTCAGGGCAAGGTAATTAAAAGCCTTTGAGGAGACAGAGTGGGAGAGAGGTTCTGAAAGCCTAAATGCACTTTTAAAATATTTTTCATAAATTCTCCTATTTTCAGCCTCACTTTGTACCCTGACAAGTATTTCTCTTGGCATACTGAGAGAAAGAAATTAGCCAAATGTTTTCAGGAGTCACATTTAAAAAAAAAAAAAAAAAAAATTAAAGAAATGTAGAAAATAAAAGGTTAGAAAAATATATACCAGATGCTTTAAAAATGACAAAAGATATATATTAATATTAATAACTACTAATAAAGGGAACAACCTTCAGTTTTGATAAAAATCTAATCCACCAAGAAAAATAATATGAACTTTTACATACCCAAATATAAAGAAATATCTGTTAAAAATCAAATGAGAATAAATTACTAATCATAATGGGAGGTAGGAACACATTTCTCACAGGAATGGAATGGTCACAATGACATGAAAAATAGTAAAGATATTGAGGATATGAATAACATAATTAATAAACTTGATGCATGGATATAATTAGAGGATATATCTAATAATCATTCTTCCAAATATGTGGTATAATCACAAAAACTGACCACGTAATCAGCCACGATTGAAATTTTAATATATTCTTTTTTTTCATTTTTATTTATTTATTTTAATTTACATCCCTCTCTCCCTTCCTTCCTTCCTTTTCTTTTCTTTTTAAAAAAAATTACATCCAAGGTAGTTAGCATATAGGGCAATCATGATTTCAGGAGAATCCAATGATTCATCCCCTACATATAACACCCAGTGCTCATCCCAACAAGTGTCTTCTTTAATGCCCCTTGCCCATTTAGCCATCCCCCAACCAAAACCCCTCCAGCAACCCTCTATATTTAAGAGTCCTCTATATTTAAGAGTCTCTTATGTTTTGTCCTCCTCCCTGTTTTTATATTATTTTTGCTTCTCTTCCCTTATGTTCATCTGTTTTATATCTTAAATTCCACATATGCGTGAAGTCATATGATAGTTAGCTTTTTCTGACTTAGTATAATACACTCTAGTGCCATCCACATTGTTGCAAATGGCAAGATTTCATTCTTTTTGATTGCCGAGTAGTACTCCACTGGATATGTATGTATGTGTATGTATGTGTGTGTGTGTGTGTGTGTATATATATATATATATACATCCATACATATATATATACACACTACATCTTTAACCATTCATCTGTCGACGGACATTTGGGCTCTTTCCATACTTAGGCTATTGTTGATAACACTGCTATAAACATTGGGGTGCATGTACCTTTTCCAATCAGCACTTTTGTATCCTTTGGATAAATATCTAGTAGTGCAATTGCTGGGTCATAGGGTAGTTCTATTTTTAATTTTTTGAGGAACCTCCATACTGTTTCCCAGAGTGGCTTCACCAGTTTGCATTCCCACCAGGAGTGCAAAAGAGTTTCCCTTTCTCTGCATCCTTGCCAACATCTGTTAT